GAGTGAGGAAGCAGCTAAAACAGCAAAAGGGAATGGTTCTTGAGCATTGGCAAAGATCTTCTGTTGAAAGACTAATATTGCGTGTGTGTGTGTGTGTGTGTGTGTGTGTGTGTGTGTGTGTAGGTAGGTAGTGAGGGGCATCCTGGGATATTGGTTCATGGTAGAAATTTTATTGAAGTTCAAGATGCTTCATCAATTTCTTAACAGATATTTCTGAATATATCTTAGGGTCTAGCATGTGTTTTAATTATTGGGAATATAACAAAGGCAAAATAAGACAGAAATCTTTACTCCTACACAGCTTGTAATCTCCATTTGTTTCTCTCTTTTGATAGAGAAAGACAGTTTAATAAGGAGATTTATAGTGGTTAAAGGTGGAAAACTTTATGAAGAAAAACAAAATGGGAAATGAGGTATGTGGGTCAGGAAAGAACCTCTCCAAGAAGTTGGCAGAGAAATGAAGGATGGGAAGTGGGGAAAGTAGCATGGAACAGTTCTGAGGAAGTGTCCTCTATGGAGGGAACAGTGCAGGCCAGGGCAGACACATTAAGGCAACAGGAGAATGTTTGCCTGGAGCAGAGTGAAGAGAAGGGACGAAAAAGCTGCCTGTAGGGTCAAGGGCTCTGTAGACTTTGGCTTCATACTGAGGGTGACAGGGTGGCATTTGGGGATTTTGAGCGGAGGAGACTCATGTACTAACCTATATGTTGACAGGACCTCTCTGACTCCTGGTCCTGGTAAGAGAGTCTATGTCAGGGACTATAGTGCTGGCTGTGGAGGTATTGAGAAGTGGTTACATAGCAGCTAGAATTGGAAGGTGGATGGTCAGATTTCAGGATGGTGCAATGGAAGGAATGTGGGTGGAAGGGGGTTTTCAGGATGAGCTCCTGGCTCTGTCCTTAGTGATCACTCCTCAGAGGGCTCAGGGGACTGTAATGCAGTGCTAGAAAGTGAACCAGGGTCAGCCCCATGCGAGGCAAGTGCCCTACCTCTATGTGCTGTACAACAACCCCCTAGAGCAAGGTGTTTGCTTGTTGGTTTGATTTGGTATGGGGGTTTGGTGGAATGAGGATGTGTCTAGTTAGGACCAAGGCTTTTGTAATTCCTCACAAGGGCAGCCATCACTTGGATTATGCAGAAGTATCAAACCCAGAGACACCTGCCATAGCACTAGGAATGGGCACTTTCTCTGGGAAAGTTTCTGGATCAGACGTAGGATCTCAGGAAGCAGAAGCCTGGAGAATTGGGTGTGTGAGCCATGGAGCTGGCACTCCTGCAGACCCTCTGTTACAGATATTCTTCCTGGATTCATTCCCTTGCTCTGTTCTTTCACATGTCACATGTTGCTGCTGGTACCTGCTGATTCTGACCCTGGGCTGCCTCCTTCTGGGGCCTAACAAAGGCACTGTGACCTGCTTTCATCCTTTCATTCTCTGAGTCCCCTCTGTGACTTCCAGGCAAGCGTGCAAGCATCCATAGTTGAGCCTCCTCTTTATGCTCCTGCTTCATCTGTTTCTCTTTTGATAGGATGCATGAGAGTTTTGTTGTCACTGGGTTTTGCTGAAGTGTTTACATAAAATAAACACAAAATCAATTGAGTTCACTTTGCAAAAACACATTTTCCAGGAAGGATACCCTAACTGTTCTGGGTCTCCAAGCAGAGAGCTCAGGAGGATGTTTCAGTGAAGGGTGGCAGCAGTGGTGAAGGAAGAAAAGTGAATATGGACAGTCTCACTTCCTTCGCTTTTCAAGGTTTTTGCCTGTCCCTGTGCTGGCCTCAAGTCCTATTTTTATACAAGGTGAGATACCAGTTCATGCTGGGTCCCATAAGCAGGAAAGGAAAAGCATTTCTGAGAATTTGGAGCAGGCAGTGGGGAGCAGGTCACAAGCATTGTTCTGGGGTCCCTGAGGACCACTCCTAGGGAGACTTGGCTGGCAAGGCTGATGGTTTAATGCAAAATCCTGAAGATACAGAGCTGCTTGGGCTCTGTGGGGCTGGGGACCACCAAAACCACTCTACAGTGCCCCGGGGCGTTCTGGACACCCCCTGGCAGTGATTCTAGGGCCACGTGCTGCCTGGGATTGAACCCAGATCTGTGCCCTACCCTCTATACTATCTCCTAGTCCACACTTCAGAATTTAGATCTCTCTGCGGGCAGTGGGGTAATCCCTAAAGACTTAAAGTCTGGAAAATTTCAGGACCAGATCTAGATTTAACAAGGATGATGGGGGTATCTAGAAGACTGGGCACAAGAGGAGAACCTGGAACAAGGCAGCTAAACTTATCTGTTCAGGTAAGGCCCTGGGCAGTTAGCAAGACTTGCCCAGAGGGGACCCAAAGAAAGCAGAACTTGTGGAGTGCAATGGTGGGGATCTGGTGTCTGATGGAGGAGAGACACACGGGGGGAGGGATACAGAATGGCCTCAAGATGAGTGGAGACACACACTAGAGAAGCAATGATGGAAGGAGGAAGAGGAGGTGGTCCATGTAAGATCCTCATAAGGGCAAAAATCACATCTTTGAAGTTGCCACTTAGAGCTACTTGAAATCAGATGGAAAAAATAATGTTAGCTCAGCGGAGATTCTAGGGCTGGAGAGATTTTAGGCTGTCCTGGGTGTAAATTATAATAATTGAGGCAATAAAAGCAGGAGACGGGCTGTGGGATCGATGCTGAGCCATGGGAGCTCCATCTCCCTTACACATATTGCCTTGGGAAACGCCCTGGCCATGGCGTGTTTTGTTCTGGAAGAATGATGAAAGATAGTTTTGCTTCTGAACACGGACCAAATTATTCGTCACAAAACCAGCCACAGCTCAGCCATGACTCATGAAATAGCTATCATCAGTCGCATGCACCAGAGTTTCCCTTGGAATTTTGAGCTCCTTTCAGCAGGGGATGGAAAACATGTCTGCGGTGGCACCATGCATGCTGGTGCGCAATGCCTCGCGTCTGTGAACTGATCTTTTAGATGTCTGCTGGGATCTGGGGTGGGGGCATGAAGCAGCACCTCTCCAGAGGAGGCCCAGCCTCATCAGCTGCTCTTTCAGAAACTGTCTTTGGCTCTTAATTTCCTGTCAGGTTGGTTCTGCCTCTTCAACTTCATTAGACACCTCTCATGTGCTGGCTTAGGCTCTAAAGGCTCATAAATCTCTCCTCAGAATAGCTTCATGGCTCTGGAAACCTTGTCAGTAGATTCATTCAATACAGATTTTATTGTTTACAATATTTATTCTCAAGGCAATTTGCTTGGGAGGAACAGGGTAACTTATTTCTGCTGTTTATCAGGCAGATTACAAACTAACATTGGGAACTTGGAGCTCCTTGCTGTCCTCGGAGTTATTTGGCCACATGGGCTTTATTTCATAGCCATATCATGCAGTTCTAGCAAAGGCAACAGTTTGTAATTCATCGCTCCAATTGACAGGGTGAGACTTTTTCTTTCTTTTTTTTTCTGTAAAAATGTTTAATAACGTTTCCAGAAGCAGGGAGCTGATGCTCAAATTGATCAGACCAGATTTTCTCTTCTTAAAGAGCTGCTTCTTAGCTCTTGTACCCCCCACAAGGCTAGCACTCCATCTGGCCCTCTGCAGTTACTGAGATTGAAATCAATCATGGGACTGCCAAGCTGATAACTCTGCTCTGCAGGTCAATTACCGTCCATCCCTCCAAGTCCACAGAAGGGATTGAAAGGAATTGCTTGTGGAAATAGATCTGGAAGACAATTACATATATTCAGTTCACATCATCCAGTTTCTTTTTCCTTTGTCCGAGGCAGGTGAAAAATGTGGTATGTAAGATATAGCTTAAGAACTAGATACTTTTACATGTTAGTGTACGTACTTGTCTGAATTTTTTCGGGAATTGCATTATGAAGGTGGTTTTCCTAAAGAAACAAATGAACCTTATACTACATGGTGTGCTAGATGTCTTTTTAGTTATTCAACAAATGCATAATTTTCCTGACTCCTCTGCTAATCATTGTTATTACTTGATGATAAGTGAACTGATTCTTCTCTTGCTGTATTCCAAATATTTGCTATCACAGAACTCACTCAGAGAACTTAGAGTACACCTTGCCACCTTGCACGTGTTTCGTCATGAGTTCAAATCCCCATTGTCCCTTATATTTGATCCTGGAAGCTCTGCTATTTGAACCCAGCATCCCTGCTATCTGTGGCACCACAAAACAAAAAATATGTATACATGAATATTATTTTTTGAATAATCATTTCTAAGACTGGAGCAATGTACCAGTGTTATAGCACCTGCCCTGTGTGTAGCTAACCCCAGTATAGTCTGTGACACATGTTGGTTCCCTAGGAATCCCTGGACAGAGCCCTGGAGGCCACGAGCATTGTCAGATGGCTTGAGTAATCTCTGCCACTCTAGAGCCTGAGCTGCACTTACTCAGGCCCTTTATTGAATCACCAGCCCAATTGGCTAGCAATAGCCAGGAGAGACCCCTGGCTTTGTGAACAACAGCTTGGAAGACTCTTCCCAAACCCCCATTTTTTCTTTTTTTTTTTGCACTCTTTGTATTAGACCAACAATAGACCACTTCATAGCAGATCAATTTTGGCTGGAACTCAGATCCATAGGGAAATTTCTTTTTGATATTTTCAATTTTTTTTTTATCTCATTTAGACTTAGAGGGAGGTTCAGTATTTAATCACCTTTGTTCGCATCTACTTACACTGTGGGCATGCCCATATTTGGAAATCTAGTATGTCAGGGTTATTCTGGGACTCTGTATGGAGAACAATATTTGATCCTCAGGATTGAATTGGTACAAAGAGGTTCTTGCTAATTGATTTTGAAGGAACAGTGGGCTTCGAAATAATTTTGTTTCTCTGGCGTGATTGACTCCAAGTTGTTAGTGTGGTAGAATTTCACTTATGTACAAATCTCAGTGTCATTATTTGTCCTGTGTTCCACATAATTTGGTAGAAAATTTTGAACAGCCAAAGTTGAAGCATGATTTGTTCTGTTTTCCAAAGGTCTAATCAAAAAATGGAAGACCCAGAAGAAAGCAGTGATGAAATTCTTGCTCGTCTAACATCTGCGGTAAGATCCATGCAATTTCCCTATTGGGGGTGCAGAAGTAATGAGACTGGGATCATGAGAGCGAAGCAGTTTGGTTGGTGGCTCAGAGACTCCCAGCCTGTGACTGCTCAGTTCTGTGGGTGGCCCCAGTCAAGGCAAAGGAGACAAAGGTATTGACGTACTAGACTAGATGCAGGCTCTCCTGAAAGATCATAGATACTCCTGTTGGAAAGTTCCTGGAATCTCAGCAGAGGCATACTATCTGATTTTCAAAATAGAGTATGACTTAACCTAGGGAAAAATTATGATCTACTACACAAAGAAAGACTGTTTCATTCTAAAAGGGGAGGGAGGAAGTGCCATTTAACCAACAAATAGCTAGTTCATGGGTTTTTAATGTACTCGATGCAACATTTTCATGGTGTTCTTTTAAAGTCACTGATCAGAGTTGGTAATGGTCTAGTTCAAAAGCCATCCGTGGTCACTGGTCATTGAGTTCCAGCTGTAGGCAGGCTCCAGCCATTTTATCTTACAAAATCTTTATTTATTGGCTTGACTTTCTGGAATCTTATCTAGCCTTCCCAAAGAATATTGAGCTGTACTTTGGCTGAATTATTAAAATGGTAATTGCTAGTAGTCATTCTAGATTATGTCTGTGGAATAAAATTGCTCTCACTCAGAGTTTTATATGCCAAATCATGGCATCAGGGCACAACTTGGAAGTTAAAACTTACCTCTTTTATTCTATAATTTAGCCTAAAAATTTTATTTTTTTTTACTCGGTGTAGAGATTGTTGGTTTGAAACATGCCATGAAATGTTAAACTTTGCAGTAGTTTTAGAAAACACAGTGATATTTAGGCCAGAGCAATAATACAGTGCAGAGGGCATTTGCTTTGCATCCCACCAACCTGAGTTTGATCCTCAGCATCCCATATATTCTTTTGAGCTCACCAGGTGTAATTCCTGAGCACAGATTCAAGAGTAATCCATGAGCATTGCAGGGTGTAAACCAAAATCCTAATATATATAGATTATTTTTAAATGGTGCTATCACTTCTTTTACAGATATGACCATTTTTTGAGGTTTAGTTATTTGCCTAAGTATAGCTAGCTAGAAAGGAGCAAAGCCAGAATCAAAACTCAGTATTTTTTACTTTCTAAACATGTTCTTATAACTGTTGTGAGTCAGTTTTCAAAATAAAGCTTTTGGAATCACAGGGTATAGGCACTTGCCTAGGATGTGGCTATCCCCAATCAATCACTGGCATTGCATATCCCCAATCAATCACTGGTCCCCTGAGCACTCCCAGAAGTAATCCCTAAGTACAGAACTGGGAATAAACCATGAATACTTCTGGGTATGGCCTCCAAACAAAACAAAATAATAATAAGGCTTTGGAGGTAGTCTCAGAAGCATGAAAAACATGTAAGATGTGGTCCTACAGCCATGCCAGGAAAGTTTAGAGAGTTAGCATATGAAGTGATAGGTAACTGAGCACCAAGAATAATGGCTTATAGATAGCAGCTAGCAGAAAAGTTCCTTGGGGAGATTTAATTTGAACCACCACCAAAGGCAGTCAGAATTTTAATGATAGAGATTAGGAGGACATGTACACTAGCTCTATGTTTTACTGTGCACAGTTCTAGGATTGAAAAAAATACACTTAGAAAATGCCATGTAGATGCACCTAACGAGAGAACAAAGCTCTTATTAAAATGGATAAGAAAAGCGAGAAATCTTTTTGAATAGATTAACATAATGAAGTAGATATTTAAAAATTAACTGGAGCCAGGGAGACTGGTTGAAAAGCTGATGAAAATCTAGTTTATGGTAGTTTAGTGGGAAGCAAAACGAAAATACATGTAAAAGAAGTACAAAGTATATATTTTCATCATTTGGATCAGATAAAGGTAAAGGAATCATTAGAGGATCTGTTTTGAGCATGAATGAGAAAGGGATGATACTCTTAGGAACTTGGGTAAAATATATGTGGATAAAGATAACATTTTAGACCTACGAGATAGGAGCATAAAAAGCATTTGGGAACTCTAAGAGATATGAGTGTAGATCATAACCAGTGCTACAGTTATGGAAACTCGTCACAGATTATTCATTGATTGAAGAGCAGAGTGGGTGGTGGAATCTTGGGATGTGCCTAAAGAAAAGGCAGAGAGGAAAGGAGAGAACACTGAGAAGGAGTGAAAAGAACTGGACAGTTTATACTATAAGAGACAAATACAGGAGAACCTCTAAAAAGGAGAGTATGAACAGCAAAGACTTTCACTGTGTATTCAATTGAGATCTTGCTGCAAAAGCCTACAAGCCAAAAGACTTATTGACTAAAGTGAGAGCAGCTGCTGAAATGATTTCTAGGACTGAAAATGAATAAAATTTCATCTTATGATTGATTGATGGTTGATGGGCCTGGAAAAGAGGAAATATCACTGTACTGAGATTGAGAACCTTGATTCATCTAACAGCGTGACATTGGCCATGGTAGACTAGATTAATATATGTTCATTCATTCAATAGTAAAACTCTGTAAGAAGCTTTCATTTTAAACGTGTTGATGTTGGTGCATACCGCCAGTGGCTCATACTTGAATGTGGGTTAATTAACACAGATTGCAGCGCTGGCATCAGTCTGAAGGGAAAAGGACTTGGCATTATCGGGAATAGGTGAGAGACTATTCATGTAAAACATATGGTGGTCTCTGACTTGCTTTCCTCCTAACTTCCAAACTTCCAAATAATGATGACTTGAATATCTAGTCCCTCTTTTTTCCTTGTATGTCTTTACTAAAGTGTGTTAGTCTGATGAAGATGCAGGCTAAGTTCTGAGAGTTATTTATTCCACTTTGTTTTTAAACATTAAATCTTCCAGTGTCCATGACAAAAAGTATGTTCGGGACTAATGATGCAGAATTATATATTTGTATTGCAATCCATGGTAAACTAAACATTGGAAGTAATATACAGTGAGTTGAGCATTACTACAAAACCATAGATTTTTGGGATGTAAGCTAAACCTGAAGTTATTTTAAAAACCTGGGGAGTATTTGGAGACATTGAAAGAAAGAAAGAAAGAAAGAAAGAAAGAAAGAAAGAAAGAAAGAAAGGAAGAAAGAAAGAAAGAAAGAGGGGAGGGAGGGAACTGTATGTCCTTAATAGGAGGTTAAAACTGATTCTCAACTGCCATCCTTTGCTTACTTAAAATCAACATCCAAAAAAAAGACCTATTGGGCAATTTCTGTTTCTTGGGCTCAATTTTTCACAATGGAAATTGTAATGGTAAGAAAACAAACATCTTCCCGAAGCTTGAGTGAAAACTCCTGACTTTATCTTGCACAGTCTAATTGTCAAGCCACTGAGGTAATCTGTGTGCAACTAACTTGTGGACTTTATATATATAGAATACCTGTTTGGCGACTAGTTATATCAGTGACATGATACAACAAGAAGGGGGTCACTCAAAATTCTTCACAGCTGATTTTTCTGATGAAACCCTCAGGGCCCGAAAACAGTGGTGGGACATAGTGAAAAAACTCAATGAAATAAATGCTTCTCCAAAAATACTTTACCCAGCGAGACTCTCATTCATAATAGAAGGAACAACACACAGTTTCACAGACAAACAACAGCTCAGGAACTTCATAGACTCAAAACCATGGTTACAAGTACAACTAAATGGGCTACTTTAAGGCAAGACAGGCCCCTCAAATACACCAAATTTCAACAGAACAATGGGACAAAATCCCATAACAATAATCTCTCTCAATGTCAATGGGCTAAACTCACCAATTAAAAGACATAGAGTGGCAGGATGGATCAGAAAACTGAACCCAACATTCTGCTGCCTGCAAGAAACACATCTCAATAGTCAAAGCAAACACAGACTCAGAGTCAAAGGCTGGAAAACAATCCTACAGGCAAACAGCTCCCAGAAAAAAGCTGGGGTAGCTATCCTAATATCAGACCACATTGACTTCAGAGTGAAGAAGGTCATAAGAGACAGTGAAGGCCATTTCCTATTGACCAAAGGATCTGTACAACAGGAAGAACTTACAATAATAAACGTATATGCACCTAATGAGAGACCAGCAAAATACTTAAAACAATTACTCATAGATTTGGAAAAAGACATCGATAGCAACACAATACTAGTGGGAGACTTAAACACCGCTTTGTCACCTCTTGATAGATCAACCAGACTCAAGCTTAGCAAGGACATACTTCATCTGAGGGAAACAATGGAAGAAAGGGACTTAGTAGATATATACAGGACACTTCATCCACAAAAAGCTGAATACACATTCTTCTCAAGCGTACATGGAACGTTCTCCAAGATAGACCACATGCTGAGCCACAAAACATGCCTCCATAAAATTAAGAAGATAGAGATTATATCAACAATCTTCTCAGACCACAATGCGCTGAAATTAGAAGTAAATCACACACAAAAACAGAAAACTAAATCAAACACCTGGAAATTAAACAGTGCGCTATTAAACAATGAGTGGCTTAGACGGGAAATTAAAGAGGAAATCAAAAGATTCCTAGAAATGAATGAAAATGAAGACACGAGTTACCAAAACTTATGGGACACAGCAAAGGCTGTGTTAAGAGGAAAGTTTATAGCTCTACAAGCATTCCTCAGAAAGGAGGAGCGAGCCCACATAAATAAACTAACCTCACAGCTTAAGAACTTGGAGAAGGAACAACAAAAGGAGCACAACCCTTACAGGAGGAAGGAAATAATAAAACTCAGAGCAGAGATTAATGAGATGGAAACCCAGAAAACAATCCGAAAGATCAATGAAACCAAGAGCTGGTTCTTTGAGAAAATTAACAAAATCGATAAGCCCCTAGCAAAACTCACAAAGAAAGGGAGAGAGAAAACCCTAATAAGCCGAATCAGAAATGAAAAGGGGGTCATTACAACAGAAACTACAGAAATTCAAAGGATCCTCAGGGAGTACTTTGAAAAGCTTTATGCCACGGAACATCAAAACCTCGAGG